GATCAGCTAATCGTGCAGGTATCCGTCGCTCTGTTGCTTTGATGTTCATGGAAAGCCACAGACTGGAATGACTGTCCACTTTTTGAGTTGGCATCCGGGAGTTTATGCATTTCATCCAATGCTATTCCAATGACCATCGTTTCCTCCTCCTATGCTTGCAGGACATCGTCTGATCAGTGCCGTCTTCTCCATCAACCAGCTTGAGAAAGGAAGTCAGTGAAGATGACAGGAGCGCAAGTGATAACCAGCACGCAAAGATGGCATGGTGCCCATCATGCCCATCAGCCAAAGCACAGTAGGCCACGGCCAAACAGGCAGATGGCAATGCTCGACCATGGCAAGGTGCGTTTAACTGTGTTCATCGGGTTTTTCCTTGTGTGTTTCTCACAGGTGAAGCTCCTTGTCCAGAGAGACAACTGGTGGCCATACGTATGGACAGTGGACGATCAACTGCCCACGATTCGAATGCAAACGGATGGACAGGAAGATGCTCACAGATCTAAAAATGTATCAGATGCTGACAGATTTCGGAATGTGTCAGAATTGGACACTCACAGATCTAAAAATGTATCAGATGCTGACAGATTTCGGAATGTGTCAGAATTGGACACTCCCAGTTTTCAAAATTTATCAGACGCTCACAGTTTTCAAAATGTGTCAGAATCCAATCATCACAGTGCCAGGTTGAAGAACTGCTCAGTATCATCAAACCAAGGCAGAAGGGACTTGAGCTCTGTCCGGACAGCAGAAGGTTCACTAGCCGTAACCGTTCCAATCCAAACTCAGCCTCAGAGTGGTGAAGGGAGAGGAAATGTTACATCTCTGCCCGCTGAACTTCAAGTGGATGCTGGGGTCAATCCGTTTTCGTGCCGCAGCAGGAAGGAAATTGCCCAGTACCTACGCTATGGGACAAACCTGACATTAGACAGCAAGCTGGAGGAGCTTTTGAACAAGTACGAGGAGCACCACAGATCATGCGTGGTGGGCGTGGACTTGGTCGCCAATTTCAAGAAGCAGTCTGATGACACAGGAGCAGAAGGCCACCTCTCGTCGGAGAAGCGAAGCAGCGGTGGAGAAGAGTTGCCTGGCTGCTCATATATTGTATGGTTTTGCCCATCGGATGGACTCGGGAATCGATTTGCATCCCTGGCATCAACCTTCCCTTACTCTGTCCTCACCTGGCGCGTTCTTCTTGTGGAAACAAGAGAGGACATGCCTCATCTGATATGCGAACCCTTCACCAATCACTCATGGAAAGCGCCCAAGGGGATCAGTGGCCGGTCATTCAGAAATGCGCCGAACATTACCGTTGCTGTTGATGAGGCAACCAGGCCAGCCCGTGTAACTGCAATGGCCAAAAAGTCGCAAGTTTCGAGTCTTTTGACCCCTAACATCTCTGCTGGTAACATTTCTGCTGCTAACATCGCTGCAGCTAAAGTCTCCACTGCTAACATTTTTGCTGCTAACATGTCTGCGACTAACATCTCTGCTGTTAATGGCGTCGATACTGCTGACATATCCGCTGCGATGAGGAGTACAAGCATGCCTCTTGTGATTGCTGCCAACAAGTCACAGGAGAGGGACAACAGCACAGGAGTAAGGAAGGAGCTTGAATCACCCGATCCTGGCAAAATACCAAYAGGCCGKYCTCCAYGGTGGGYGTCAGTGAAGATATATCAGGTCAGCGAGACAYTTGGTGAAAATGCACGCTTCTTCTGCGTCCGSGAGCAGGAGATTTTGTCCAAGGTCAAGTGGCTTGGAATGTACAGCAACCAGTACTTYATTCCCGGGTTGTTTGTCATGCCGCAKTTCAGCGAGAKGCTGAACCRGTGGTTTCCGGATGGCATTGTGTACACGCGCCTGGCTCGCCTCCTGTTCCTGCCCRAGGACGAGGTTTGGGAGAGGATCACAAGAACTCACAGGTTCTATCTGTCGAAAACKGACAGGCTTGTGGGGGTACAARTGCGTGAAATGGACGATAACCCCACAAAAAGATTGGCAGGCCTGCTYGATTGCCTCATCAATGGAGGAGTGCTGCCAMAACCAGGGGTCTCATTGAGGGTCACAAGAGACACAGTMGAGGTCCAGGTGCCAGACCTGRGCCYGATCTCAGGGAAGATCCGAAATAAGACTGAGAGTGGAACTGCAGKTTCCACTGTTGACCCCGAGCACCAGCCGCAGGGTGTGCTACTCTTCGAAGCTGACAGCTTCCGCCGGGCTAGAGGGCAAAGCAGCACGAACGGGGGCGGCAATGGTGTAGAGGGGGCCGRATACTAYRCTCAGAGTASAAGAAGTAAAGGTGRTGTAACTGTATTGGTAGCTTCTCTGCACGACGTGTATTACAAAACTCTGAAAAGAATATATGGCATGAGGCCCTCTGCGACCGGTGATAGGGTAATTGTACACCAGGAGGTCTTGGAAACGGAGCAGCATTCATCCCTAGTAGAACACAATGAGGCGGCATTTGTCGATATGTGGCTKCTGGGTTTGAGYGAYGTGCTTTTYACTAGCCATYGGTCGACCTTTGGTTACTTCTCCCAGGCAATTGCGGGCTTGGYGAACCCTCAGCAACTTAACTCTGGTTGGGATATTAGTTCCATCAATGCAGCGGACAACGAAGCGACAGCGAGGTCCTGTTTCAATTGGCAGAGTAGAGATGTTTGCTTCCATTTCCCCCCCTGGAATAACGACAAATGGAAGTGCATCGATGACGGACATGTTCACATCCGGAAGCAAATGTATGACAAGGGCCCTGGTTCTCCGTTCGTAGCTTGTGAAGATTACTATGGCGGTGTGCAATTGAGAGCGAGAACAGGTTCATATTAACTTCATAACAAATATTGTACAAATAACTTCTCCAATGAAGTTTATTAACAAAAAATTGACTAAATTGAATTGCATGCAAGCGTCAATCGTACGATGTGCGCGATTGGAGGTAATGTCGTCGATGTGTCTATGTCCAATGGAAACTTGGAAAGAGGATTGGTTATGCCTGTTTCTGTGAGACACAACATGCATGGCAGACGATGCCAACCATACTTGCAACCGCACGAGCCGCACATTCATGCGGAGTTCCGTGCGGAGTTCTGTGGCGGGGGGGTGCCTGTGCGGAATCGTGCAGGTTTTTTATTTGTATTATTATTTTTTATCTTTTTCTGGGAGGGGGAACGGGGGGGTGTATGACAGGAAGATGGGGATATGGCGAGGAGAGGGGGATATGGAGAGGAGGAGGAGGATGTGGACGAGGGGGACAATGAGGATAGCGAGGACGACTAGGAGTCGTCGAGATAGGGGGAGGAGAAGAGATGGACGGAGGGAAAAGAGGAAGGGCAGGAGGAGGAGGACGAGGGGGAGGAGGAGGAAACATGGACGGCTAGGAAGGGGAGGACACGAGGAAGGGGAGGACATGAGGAAGGGAAGGAGACGAGGAGGCATGGAAGATGAGGATGTACGAGGAGGAGGAGGAGACAAGGAGGATGAGGAAGGGCAGGAGGAGGAGACGAAAAGGAGAAGGGAGGAGGAGACATGGAGCATGAGGAAGGGGAGGAGGAGCAAGGTGGGGCAGTACTCCTGTATTTTTTTTTTTTTCATCTCGCTTGTAATTTTGGCGGGGGCCCTCAAACGCACCATTTTGAACCCGGACTTTTTTTTTTCTTCTGAGGGAGGTGAGGGGTTGTTCCCCGCACACGTCGTGCGCCGCACGGGATCGGTTGGGCGGGTGTGCCGCACGTAGGGAACAGCCCGCACGACGTGCGCTTGCAAGTATGATGCCAACTCATGGACATGTGAAAGCAAGGTTCTCCCCTCTCTGCCGGATGGCTGATGACACCAGCTGATCGGCATCAAGACGTGACAGTTCGGTTATTACCCATCTGAAGCAGACGGCATATTATGTTGCGGTCGCCGGATGGTGCCTACTAATCAGCATGTGAAACTCAGGTTAACTTGCAAATATATAAGACGTCCCAAGATCAACCCACTAGGAATCGAACCTACGACCCTCCACCAAAGAGGTGGATCACTCGACCAACAGGAAAGTGAGCTGGGGGGGGGTTTGAAACTGATCCCCTTGAGGGACATTTCACCCCACCCCAGCATGGAGTATATGCACCGGGTCATGGATATATTTCATGCTGGGTGAAATGTCCCTCAAGGGGCTTCACTTTCATCCCAGCTCACTTCCGGTTAAGTAATCCACCTCTTTGGTGGAAGCTCGTAGGTTCTATTCATAGTGGGTTGATCTTGGGACTGCGTGTACATCTCGTCACATGGATATGTTATTATATTCCATGCTGGGTGAAACGTCCTTCAAGGGGCTTCACGTGCATCCCAGCTCACTTCCTATTGGTTAAGTGATCCACCTCTTTGGTTGAAGCACGTAGGTTCGATTCATAGTGGGTTGATCTTGGGACTGCTTGTACATCCCAGCTCACTACCTGTTGGTTAAGTGATACACCTTTTTGGTAGAAGCTCGTAGGCTTGATTCATAGTGGGTTGATCTTAGGATTTCCTGTACATTTCCCATTCTTTAGCTGGCTGCCCTTTCGCCGACGAATGGTCCAGCGGCTGCTTCTGACGATGAGGGGGCTGGGTGATGATTCTGTGTTTTCCTGAATGATCCATTTCCTTTTCTGTGCTTTCTTTCTTTCTTTCTTTTTCTTTCTTTCCCTCTTTTCCTTTCTTTCATTCTTTCTTTCTTTCTTTTTTTCTTTCTTTCTTTCTTTCTTTCTTTCTTTCTTTCTTTCTTTCTTTCTTTCTTTCTTTCTTTTATCAGATTCCATCAGGATTCGAACTTAGGTCTGCTAACACTTACATGTGTGTACCGTAATACCCTCTTCAGACACATGGGCTGTGTAATGGGTCCATTTTCAGAATCTGGGAGACAGAGAGAGGCAGTTGCCACATGGTCAGGCAATGGAGCATCCATCCCTTTTTTTTTGGCAGCAGCAGTGTTACATTCAACAAGTCAAAAGCTTGCATCACCTCCAAGGTGAGCAAGGACCATCTTGCAGACAGTGCTTAAGCCGTCAGCCTATGATGGGTATCTGAAATGTATGTGAAGATTACTATGGGGTGTAACCTCCCCATTTCCTTTCTTGTCTTGTCTTGTCTTGTCTTGTCTTGTCTTGTCTTGTCTTGTCTTTTTTTTTTTCAAGAACCTCAGCTGCCCTGTATTACGAGCTTGGATGTTCTGCTTCCCAGTGAGTCAGATGCGATGTTGACAATCTCGTGGTCCTTGGTGTTCTGTTGCCTTCCTCTATTTCTTTCGTTTATTCTCCTTAAATGTTTGTCTTTTTTCTTTGAAAGGATATCATGTCTCAGTCAAGTCCCGTATCCTGGTCCTGGAGTCCCAGTGATCCCAGTCCCATGTACTATCGTCAGACCAGCAGGCCGAGTGGCTGAAATGCCGATTCAAGCCTTGAGGCGTTAGGTGTCTTACGTTGTCAGAATCCGGCAGGTCCTGCACCCGACAGGAAAAGGTCAAGTCCCAGTCTAAATTTAGCAGCAGCATCCGAGGAAGGCCCGGTGACTTCCTGAACCGCCAATTGTGGCAATTGCCAACGGGCCCTGGGGCCCTGGGGGACCGGTGACCATTACCAGTCAGAAACCGGCGAAGATCATGAATTGCAACTGCTATGAAAGCAGCTACAGCAGCACCTGGGCGACTCACTTGTTCATTAGCATGTTGGGAGAGCGCTGCTGTACGCTTGTCTGATGGTTTGATGAGATCAGTCCGGTCCGGCAGACTGGTTTGAGCGCCAAGTGTACTCACAGAGAGAGAGAGAGAGAGAGAGAGAGAGAGAGAGAGAGAGAGATCTTTCTGTGTGTGTGTGTGTGTGTGAGTACACTTGGAGAGTGAGTACATACCTGAGTGAGGCTTGGCGGCCATAGCCGCATGGAACCTGAGTATGGATGCTTGCAACAATTTTGTAGTTTACTATTTTGAGATAATAACTAGGAAAAAACATTGAATTCAATTCAATTCATTTCATGAACTACTCATGGCCTAATTCCTTGGGCTGTCTTTCCAATGAAGGAACGCTTGTGGGTGGCCACACATTTTTTTTGGCGTGGGAATGTATGTTTGGAGTTTTGACCACAGTATCGTCACGAGGAGGCTCAGAGAGTGTTTGCTGTGGGTGTCATTCCTACAGGCTGCTCTTTTGGAGCACATGGAGGAAATGGGGGCTCTAGGGTTTTTTAAGCAGTGCTGCTTGTGTACTACGAGAGTAGTTCGGGCAGACATATGGACAGGGATTTGTAATGATTTGGGTGAATACGGGATTGTGGGGTTGTGTAGATGAGTCAGTAATTGAATGAGATTGGACAGGGTTGTTGGACCGATGGCATGTTCTCTAAGATTGTGGTATTTGGGCTCATAGGCGCACCGGGCTTCGAACCCGGTACTTCGATTTTTTTGATTTCTGGGTAGGTATGTACCTTCCAAGTGGACATCCTCTGTAATATTGGCGCAAGGACCGGAGCTCGGACGGATCCTGGTACCGTCGGGTTGGCGATACAGTGAGGACCGGATTACCATCTTGTGGGTGATCCGTGCCCTGGGTTTCAAACCCGGGAGCTGCTCTGAGTCCTCGAGAGGGAGTAGGATACTACTATAAGATGGATTAGTGAGACTCTTTAGTTCTTTTACAGACGCTCACTATCGACTTGCGCTAAATTAGCGCTGGCGGTTAGCCGCGAACGCTAAGTTGGCGTAAGCTGTAGTGAACGCAGGGTTGTCTGGAAAGTTACGGAGGATCATGGGGATGTGGAATGTTGTTGTTTATCGTATTATCTTTTGAGCTTCACATTACGTCCATTTGTCACTGCACGTGTGCTGCATGTGTGTTGACTTTGCTCTGCTTATGAGTTACCTTCATACAGATACTACAGATACTCTATACACAAATAAGCCAAAGTAGCAAAGAAACTCAACCAGGGATCGAGACCAACAAATCTCAGCCAGACACAAATCCCTACCAAAGTCGGGGACCAATCCCTGCCATCATGCACATTTCCAAAATTTTCTTATTTTATTTCCGTAGTATTCCTTCCCCCCACCCCACCCCACCCCACCCCAAAGTATTCCTTTTTTTCCTATTTTCTCCCCCTAGTATTCCTACTCCCTTCGCTCATTGTAATGACAAACATCATTTTTTTTTTTAGTTTTTTTTTTCAATCATGATTTATTATGACAATCGTCAAACAATGAGTGCAAAACAAACAAGAATCGAAATCATGCAAGTTAAAAACGGCTGAAGTGGGATGCCGGCGCCATAGTGCTCTGCTCCCGTGATGCGTGCGCTATCCTGTTTAGGGTTTCGTAGGCGTGGGCTCAGCGCCATAGCCCAGAGCGCTTAGCACCGGGAGAGACACGTTCTTTCAGCAGTCAATCCGAGCTTGGGTTGAGCACGAGTAGACAAGAGCATGTCCGTAGCTGATGGAGGTTTTTCAAAGCGGTGGCGGTGGGCATAACGAAGACCTTTGAACCGTCGAAGAAAGATGTTCCTTTACGCGAACCAACAGAACAATCCAGAACAAGCTTGAAACGAAGAACGCTGAGAAGCAGCGTCCTTCCGATGGAACACCTCATTGATGACGAGTAGGATTGGGGGAAGTCCGGATTTCAGACATACACATCTCTGAATGCGAGCGACAAGCAATCAGGACAGTAGGGGCTTCTCAGAGATGCATGTGAGTGAGTTTGGAGTCGACTAACTGTGCAGCTAGCGGGACTGTGAGAGTAGGAATGGGGATATAGGTAAGGAGTAAAGGTGGATGAACGCTTGCTTGGGGCAAGCGGATGAAGGACAGTAGAAGTAGAGCAGGCGGGTAGGCTTGGGTGAAGTCC